TTCCGCGGTCCACTCTGGTGATGGCTGCAGGTTACTACTTTAATATCAGAGGAAAATCCCATGCTATCTCATTCATCTCATTTGAGGTGTGCCATGGCTCCCAGGTTCGCTCAGCCACACTGTTCAAGTGCCCATGAGCAAGAATCCAGCTCCCTCTGAGCTGATCTTACCCTGACCTCTGACCTCTCAGGGAAGATGGAGAGCTGCTGCTAACACAAAGGCAAAGTCGCTCCAGATCTCCATGCTGCATCTCGGGGCGGTTTGAAGAATCCCCGGCGGCACGTGAGCGTCGCCTCAACGTGCCAGTGCGTGAGGAGGCTCGGTTCTCTCCGTCATCCCGTCAGCTGGAGGAAGCTTCACGGCACCGGGAGGTGGTGGCGGCGGCGGCGGCAGGGCCGAGCAGACAGCTGCGACACAGAGGCGCCTGTGAGGGAGAGTAACATGGAGGTTCAGGGAACAGTGGCCAGCATGAGCAGGTTCAGTGTGCAGGACAGGAGACAGAGCAAAGACTGGACCGTGATGTGTGGGAGCCATGAGTGAGCCTCCTCAGAGAAACACTAACAACCTGCTGTGATAACATGGAGCCGCTCAGCCCGACTGGAACACAACCACGGGCCTCGTTCAGCCATGTTTCTAGATGTGAATTCATTGTTGTTTTTTTTTATCAATTGCGTGTTATTAATACAGATTAGAAACCGGAGCATGAAGCGCTTCGACATCCCGCATTTCTCCGGACCAACGGGCTAAAATAACCCTGGCTACTGCTCAGCTGTCAATGACGAGCGGGCTGCGGACACGGAGGCGACGGCTCACCTCTCTCCTCACGTCGGCGTGGATGGAGACGTCGGTTGGCTCCGGTCCGGTGGAGGTGAACCACAGCCGGATCTGTACGCTCGGCGGCTCGGGTGTCTGCGGCTGCTAATCTTGTCTGGGTCCGTCTTCACGAGCTCTACAGCGGGCTGAGTGCGGCTCCGGCTGCCGCTGAGATGAAGCCGGCCAGGGTGACGCACAGCACTTCCTGTTGGAAGTTTCAAAGTAAAAGAGCTTCAACCTGAACGACAGTAGTTTGCACGCTTTTAAAGTAAATAGATTTTTTTATTTTTTATATGAAAAGCACAACATTCATTTTCAAAATAAATATTAACTACATTAAGTACCTCGCTCACTGGACCATGTTTTCCAATGCTGTCAAATGCTTCTTTAGAAATATCGTCATCACAAATATCATCTATACCAAACTATTATACCTCCTTGTTTAACTTTCAGTTCAATTAAATTGAAATTGAATTAAAGTTCAATTAATTCGAGGCAATTTTTGTGTTTTGTTTTTTTCCCATTCCAACGTATATTTTAGTTTGGGGTGAATGCAGGTTCAGAATTGTAACGAGATATACGTAAAATAGTTACAATAAATAATGGAAATAGGTCTGTTTTTTTTACATTAATAGCATAAGAAAATACAGAGTTTTATAGCCTGCTTAATGCCAACATACACTTGTTTTATGTGTGATATGACTATATTAAAATAAGACATTACAGACTTATTTCTGTCATTTATTAAAGTAATGACTTTTTAATAAAATGAACTATGGGATACTGAAGGAATGTGAGTGTGCTGTATAATTTTTAGACTGTATGTAATTTTGCGTATTAATTTGTTATTCTTATATGATCATCCAGTTTCACATCCCTTCTACTTAGTTTCACTACTACAAGACTTTTATTTCGAAAAAAAGTCGTGAAACTTCCTGTATGTCTGCAACTGAGTTTGACACCTGACGCACGGAGGCCAGGGCTGAGTGAGCGGCTCTGATTGGTCAAACCCTGATAACTGGCCTGGAGTCAGTTCCTCTGTGCAACCACGGGCCTGCTGCACCTGACACTTTCAACACAAACCAATCCCAGACCAGCTGCTGAGCCGGAAGTAGTAGTGCACTGGCAATGACACACATTCTGGTAAATAAATAAATAAACCAATGGCCCAATTATATGAAAGAATAAAGGGACAAATAAAGCAAAGTCGCTATATTCTATGTTAATAACAATAGCAAAGGTGGATTCATTTCAGAGGATATTCCCAAAACATAAGAAATGTAAAAAGAAAAATGTAGAGAGAGCATCTTCATCTGATCTCCTCCCACTCCTCTTCCTCTTCCTGTTGTGTGCTGCTGCCATGCTTTTCCTGGTCACGTTGGAGGCAGTGATGATGGAAGTCTGCCTGGGCCCACAGGACACAACTGCATGCAGTGTAGCAGCAGAAAATCAATTCGTCCTGGATGCAGCCAACTTTCTCTTTAGACAATGGAACAACGCTCCAATATTCACAATATGATAGAGAGACGTGATATCTCAGGAAAATGCCACAATGAGCAAATGGTCACGTTAAACAATTTAATATATTTATGTTCTTTTTTTTTAACAAGTGAGAGTCGAAATGAGGTCACTGTTGTATGACTGAATGTCTGTGAGGATGACATCATAGCTTGGTTTCACCCGCAGGAGCAATAGTTCATGGACCCTCTCACATATTATGTCATTGTTATGAGAGGTGTACATGTAGATACACTTTTGTGAGCTTAATAATCTGATGGGATAAATGGCAATAACATGTTTCACAAACAAATTGTTCATGTTGAAACAAAAATGTGAAATGTTATTTTATTGCTATATTAACAAATTCCACAATATAAAAAACAAACATCTTTGTATCCAAATCAAGGACGATATAAACCCTGCCCCCTCTATGGTAGCAGATGGGACATGGACCAAAAAAAACCCCAGTGCTATTTGAATAGATTTTTTCCTGAAGATGGTTTCTGTCATTTTTGGTGTTTCTTGTCACACTGGTGTATGTTCAATTGTTAATTATTCTGGTAAGTTTGGTATGAAGCTATGAAAATGGGCTGAGACATCATGATTGACAGCTGAGATTGAATCATGATTGGTCGAGCACATATATGTGAGGGACCTAGTTACCACGGCTCCAATGCACAGACTCTAGCTACAAATTACATCAACAATACAACATGGCAGCACCCGTATCCATGACATTTGGCTTCATATTTGTGCACCAGGAGGTAGAGAAGCAGCATCTGTCTTAATTTACAGCTATTGATCATCTTTAAATACAATTATTGATTATCTTTACAGTTAATGGTCCAAACTTATGTTCTTAATCCACCAACGTAGGTGATGCCCTCATAAATCCAAATTCAACACAATATTGCGATGAATCACACAGGGTGATGTCCCCCTGAGTGCTTGTGCTGCATTCAAGCAACTGGGAAAACAAGGACTATGTCCATTTATAGCCATCCACACATCATGATAGAGGTTTCCACATGGTTATGATACATGTTTTAGATTAAACCCCAGCCTGTAGTAACTGTTGTTCCCATTGTTTTAAAGGCACCACCTGTGCTGAGAGGAAGATGTATTGCATACAGATTATTCATGGCTGTTGGACCCTCTGTGTAAAATGTGAATATTGATGGCTCCTGAGGTTTTGAAGCAAAGTAAACAATGATAATTTAGAATTTAGACTTTGACTTACCCATAGTTTTAACTTATAAAATGAAAACTTGACATTTCAAATTTTTTTATTATAAGTATTTAAATCTAAAATGTTTAGCTTTTTTACGTTTCATCTGCTTTTTGGTAAGCTTACATGTTTTGGGTTAAAGTAAGAAATGTGTATTATAAACAAAACAATGTGGACAACAAAAGGGAAACTCATCCAGTCAGTGTAGTATTATGACTGTGAAACAACTGCTGCTATTGTTCTTACTGTGAAGACAGTCTCAGGCTTCCAAACGTTTCTTCTGGGTGCTGACTGGCAGCTGTAATCCAGCCACTGTACCAGGTGCCAAGGCAAGTCTTCCATTGTTTTGTGTTGTCCTGTACTGTCCAGCTGGACAATGCTTGGACATACAGTACATTCATCAAGCACTTTCATGGGAAAGACCTGCAATTATCCTCATCTGACGGATCTGAACTCCTGGAGAGGCTGCAGATATCATCAAATTTATCCAATGTTATTTGTATAGCCTATATTCACAAATCACAATTTGTCTCATAGGTCATAGGACAGATATGTCTTGTGTCAACAGTCCAGGCTGCCGGTGCTGGTGTGATAGCAAGAGGAATGTTTTCTTGGTAATGATTATATAATTATTAGATAATGATCCATGTAAAAAAGAAAAAGTCTCAAACTTATTTTATATATATGACAGTGAGTTCAGTGACCCAGTCACCAGATGGGAATCCAGTACAACTTTATTTTCTCAGCATCTATTTTGACATGAAATAGTAGTGTGTGTTACTAATCACATTAATCAACGGAACCTTAATTAACACCTGTATTAAACTACTTTTTCATTTACTCTGGTACTCGCTTATACTTTCGCTGAGTATTTTAAATTATTTTCTATAATTTATCTCCATACTTCCACTCCACTACATTTCAGAGGAAATTTACTTAGACAGTTTCAGTTTTTTTGTAAAGGACTTGGCTCAACAATATTGTGTTTAAAGCATACACAACTTAATTTATATAATATAAAGCGAATTTTCTCACATAGCTTGAGTAAAGGATCTGTAGTGAGATGACATATATATATATATATATATATATATATTACATTATATATACATATATTGTACATATATATTACAGGCTATGGATGACACCCTGACCTTTCCGCCCTTTACATCAGGGTCTCCTCAGTTTATTTGCAAATTGCAAATCGGGACTACGTCACGAAGTGGACTCCACAGGAAACTTGGCCTGTCACTTTCATATTAAAAGCATATATATTTTTATGGGTGATAACACGCGTCCATGGATCAACAAAACGCATCACATAGAAGAAGTAGTTTTTTATTGACCTAATGTACATTTTAAATATACAAACAAAATCATTTGCAGCTATCTCGGCAAATGCCATTTTATCATAAAGGCATTTATTTTGAAATAAACAGGACGTTGTATATCCGTCCACCTTGAAGCACCAAGCTAGTTCACATTGAGCTAGCTCTTAGCCGCAGTCTGAAAAGCGCCTCACGGATCATCTCCGTGTTTTCGGGGTTCACCTCCGTCTCAGTGTTTTCTTCTTTCTCCGGGAACATGGCTCTGCTGACGCCGCTGCTCGCCTTCTTGTATCACCTGCCGCAGGTGTACAAATGGCTGCTGAAGCCATATTATGTGGCGTCTCTCTTCATGTCTGTAGCCTTCCTAGCTGTCCGCAAGACGCCCGGCATCTGCGACAATTTGGACACTCAGCGGGAGGACGGCAACTCCTGCGACTTCGACTGGGTCCGTAGAAAATGCTGGAAAGTCTAAAGTGCTGTTTAAACTGATGGTGTGAACTCTCTGGTCAGTGGCTGGTCTGTGGCTGGTCTGTGGCTGGACACAGCCGTGGATGAATGAACAGCCCGGCTGCAAGGGCCAGGTGACATTAGCTTGTAGCTACGAGGAGAGATCCACAGGCCAAACTGCGTTCAAAAAATCGTGAATTCATTATTTTGTGCGTATCGGCAGCGATACTTAAGTCGTAGCGCTTATTTTATACGTTGGCGTAAATACTAAAGCTTTTATATTTAGTACGGCACATAAAGGCTCTGTAAATATTGTATTATTATTAACGCATTGTGATCTGAATCACGCCATTTGACATGAGTTTATCTCGCCCATGGTAACTAACTTGTTGGAGTTTGTTACATCAGTTAGTTGTTGGATTCATGTTAAAGGCTCCTCGGTTGAACAGGGATGGACTAACAATACTGCCAGAAGTCATTATGTCTCAGACACAATACATCGACAAGCAAACTGCTTTACACTTATCGCACTGTTGTATTAGTTTGCTGTGACTTGTCAGCAAACTAATACAGACCCCAGTAAGATGTGTGACGTGTGTGTCCTCAGAGAGAAGTGGAGATTCTCATGTTCCTCAGTGCCATCGTCATGATGAAGAACAGACGAGCGAGTGAGTAAATGTTATGTGTTTGTAGATGTAGTCCTGTATTCCAGTAGCATTAAGATCTGTCATGTAATCGTGTGATAATAATAGTAAGTAAAGAAAAGTTATTAACAGTCCGGTATCTGTTTTCCAATGTCATTCTTTAGTGATTGTGTTGTTTCACTACTACTTTTCACTGTGTCACTTTGCTTCGAGGTTCATATTAGGACTCTGTGTTTGTTGGAAAATATCAGCATCACCCTTTATATACCACCATACTATTTGAATTTTAGAAACAGCACTGGTCAGGTTTTAAAAAACCAGATCAGCACCATGATCACCTGCTTATTGAAGCAGTTTGAACAAACACATGAGACTCTCTCTCTCTCTCTCTCTCTCTCTCTCTCTCTGTTGCTTCATGTTAGTAACTGTGGAGCAGCACGTGGGAAATATCATCCTGTTCAGCAAAGTGGCCAATGTCATCCTGTTCTTCAGACTGGACATCAGGATGGGATTGCTCTACCTGACACTCTGCATAGGTGAGTCCTACCACTATTATACATTTACACCAGCTGGTAGATTTTCTGCTTCCTCTCTTATAAATTCAGGTGTTAGAAACCAGGGTCTTGTTGGTTAGATGCGAGTAATGTGTGTATCCAAAGTGTGGTATATGCTGTTCCCCTGAGCAACATTCTTTCCAAAAAACACATCATGGAGCAACAGTGTTGCACACTACACTACACACACCATCCTGCTGTCCCAAATACTCACTACAGCACCACATGTAGATTTAAGGTGCTGAAAATAGTCCAAACAAATGTACCGTGTCTTCCTGTTTGTTTGAAGATGTGTCTATAGATGGATGGGTTAATAGTTACTTTAATGATCCAGAGGAGAATCTAGGCTTACATTACGACTGTTACAAAGAAAAGTAACACACAGGAAAAAGAGAGGAAAACAACAGGAGATTACAATTGAAGTTGTAATAAATATAATATTGAAATAAGCATGAAGTGCATCTAAAAATACAAAAGACAATAGTAATGTAATAATAAATTATGAACCAGTGGAATTTAAGCTCGGCAAGGATTGGTTTATTTGAAGGGAGCTCAGAAACATGAAATCTAAATCATTATATAGTTCAGCTATAGCCACTCAATTCTAAGAAAGGTGTAGTTAGCTATACTGGCAACCTCAGGTACATGTGTTTCCAGGGCCAGAGAGGGCCACAGTTTCAAGGTACAAGGTGACCTCTCCATATCAGTTCCTCAGTTTTCACAATGCAATATACAATCAACACAGGAAGGCAGCACTTCCTTAAATTGAGGGTGTGGAACTTGGGAGTGTGCAGCAATTTTGTTTATAAATGACTTAAATGATTGTTCTATTTTCTGTGTGTTGACACATCCACTAATGGGCTGATTATTGTTGCACCAATTCTACTAATAACAAAAATTATATCCTAATTCTCTTCTCTTCTCATGTCTTGTGTGTTTCAGTGTTTTTGATGACATGTAAGCCTCCTCTGTACATGGGACCAGAGTACATCAAATACTTCAGCGACAAAACCATTGATGTGAGTAAAACAACGGTAGAATTGGTCAGTACAGCTGACCAAGAGCAAAGATCTTGCGGTATTATTTATTATTAATCCTAAATCAACATTTGTGTGTGTGCACGTGTGTCCAGGATGAATTGGACAGAGACACTCGTGTGACCTGGATTGTGGAGTTTTTTGCCAACTGGTCTCCAGAGTGCCAGTCCTTTGCTTCTGTCTACGCGGACCTTTCCCTCAAGTAAGACTCCATTCCTCTTCTCAGTAAAAGCATGAAGTTCACTGAGGGACAGTGATAAGGGTAACTGCAGTTTCTTGTGTTTTAGGTATAACTGCACTGGCCTCAAGTTTGGCAAAGTGGACATTGGGCGATATGGAGAGGTTTCCAAGAAGTAAGATATTTGATCTTTTTGTTTTTTATCCTCTTTCTTCTAGAAAATGTTCCCTGATATTTTAATCGAATGAAGGGAATTTATTTTGTCAAAGAGGACTGACCAGAAATCTGAACATGTTGTTAAGCCTGGATTTACTTATGTTCTGCAGGTACAAGGTGTCAACATCTCCACTGTCCAAGCAGCTTCCCTCTCTGGTTTTATTCCAGGGAGGGAAGGAGTTGATGCGACGCCCCCAGGTGGACAAGAAGGGGAGAGCTGTATCCTGGAGCTTCACTGAGGTCAGATTGGACAGTACACTTAAGATCTGTGACCGTTTATTAGAAAATGCATGGACAATATTAGGAAAACATGCAAGGGTGCACAGCCCGGCCACAGCGCCACCAAGTCTGCTACAGTGATCATTTGGGGTCTTTTCATACATGTTTGGACCATGAAAAAGTTTTGACTGACTCTGTCAGCAATTTACTGCAGTAGTAATACTTATTAGGGTCGTACTGATGGATAATGAACTTGATGGTCAGGGCAATGATTGATGACACATTTTTTTCCAAAATGTACTAAATGTTATTTGTTGTTGTAGCATTGAATTAATGATGACATTTCTCTCTTTGCACTCTTCAAATGTTCAAGGCTAACAGCAAAAATACCCTACTCATGGAGATAGATATAAAACTAGACAAAGAGGTGGTCGGCATTTCGATCCCCAGTCCTCCCCAGCTGCATGCTGAAGTGTTCTTGGGCAAGATGCTGAACCCTGAATTGCCCCTTGTAGAACAAAAAAAGTGCTGCTAATAGATGCACTGTATGAATGTGTGTGTGAATGGGTGAATGGCAAACTGTAGTGTAAAGCCCTTTGAGTGGTCATCAAGACTAGAAAAGCTCTATATAAATACAAACCATTTACCATATATTTACAACATGTCATCTTCTCTGAACCTATAATACAATGCTATTAAAAAAGTAAGGAGAAATGTTACTGAGTTTATGTTTCAAAACTAGATGACGTGGACGAAACACATCAGTAACCTGAACAAAAGGCAAACAACATACATTTCAAAGTCCTTTGTGGAAAACACAGTGCATCACCTTCAAAAGTCACCAAGTGCAGCTGTTTTGGATCGGGCCGTCCCCTCCCCGACCAACATTACTGACAAGCAGTTACAACGCCTGCACACAATCCACAACAAAGCACTGACACTGGCTCACATACTCTCACATAATCTACATCAGCAGTCAGCATTCCAAACTGTAAGAAAAAGGCATCAAGCAGTTGCATTGAATAGCCTGAAATATGAAGAAGATAGGTTTTGGTTGAGAGTGGGCAGAATGACGAGTAATAAATGGTGTTTTAACATTTTAACAAGGAAAAAGCCTTTAGAAGTGATTGATGTAAAGCTTCTGAACGCTGAAGCAGAATTGATTGCTGAACCTATTTGTTACTTAAGAAAAATGGGTTTGTTTGTGATTACTTTTAGAATCATGTTTTGCCCATCTATACTATGGCCCAAATAATAACTACATTTGCCAAACTACTCTAGAACACATCTGTCTCTGCCCACTAGGAGAACATCATCCGGGAGTTCAACCTGAATGAACTCTACCAGAAATCCAAGAAACTCAGCAAGACAAAAGAAGACAAGCTGAGCCAGTACAAGTTCCCACCAGTCCCTGAGGAGGAGGAACCAGAACTGCAAGGAGCTGACGACCACAAGGACGAGACTGAGTCCAAAAAGGACAAATAAGACGGTTAAATAAGACATAGCTCAGCTTTTGGAACCAGTGAGTCCAGATCAGCTCCTCTTCGCTCTCTCCTCTTCTGTGTTCAGTGTGTTCACTCATGAGTCAGTGTGGATCACTGACTGAGATGGAGGTTTAATGAGAATTAAAATGATCACAGTACTTATGCCTCTGTTCAGCTCCATTTAACACTAAACCTCCTTTTAACCCTGTGATTCGCCACATGTGCAGCTACAGTGACCCTGGTCTGTTTCCCCTGATTACAACTGAAACAGTGGACACTTAAGAGGAGAAGCAAACTGAGATCGAGTAAACCACCGTTTGAAGAGTGACGCTGTGAAGTGCTTTAATAACCCATGTGCACCTTGTTGTTAAAGTGTGCTCAGCACATTTTTGATGGTTAAAGCTGTGAAGCCCATGTGACTGCTCATTAGCAGAGTCAGCTGAGTTCCTACTAATTGACAATGAGGCAGCAGTGAATGTGATGCTGCTTTGTTTGTTATTGATTTAGATTTTTTTTATGCAACTAATTTAATTCAGAGTAGATAAGATTTTTTTAAAATCCTTTTATGACTAACTGTATATTTATGTTAACCATGTGATAACCTCTGGAACACAGCGTAGACGGTGTATGACTTAGAATTCATTTGCAGTGTTTAAACATTCCGATTCCCTGTGGCTTGTGGTTTGAAATGAGACACAATAACATCAACACATCTGCACAGGTCAGGTTGTGTTACTTATGTTTCCATAAATGCATGACAGGCATATCAGCAACAGTATTATTGCTGAAAACAGTCATGTTGTATTCGGTTAGAGATGCAAAATACACTGAATAATAATAGTAATGATAATAATATTTCTTAATCATCATTTGTAGACCATGTTACAAGAGCTTAATGCAGGGAAGCAAATAAAAATGATATGTATTACTGTTTATGTCAATGATGAGGTACAGAGTGTAGAAGCGAACAGCTTATGCCTCAGCATCAACCAGGTCTGAACGGGGCCTGTGTTTTTCCAAAGTCTCACTCTCATTTTAAAGTCATGTTGGCCAATCAAAATGATTATGATTATCATTTTAAGTGGCTGAATACTGTGGTTCTCTAGATAAAGCTTGTACAATGGTGAACTTCAGACAGAAGTTCTGTTTATAGTGAGACACCATCACATTCCAGGATTGTCTGAGACACTTGACATCCACTTACGTTGTCATTTTTATGAAATATCCTTTACTCTATGATTAATCAGAAATGCTGGTGAGCTTCTTCTGGTCTCTTTGAACCAGATGGAGGCTTCGTTGCATTACCTTTAGGTTCCTATTAAGGATTTAGAGCTTTTGATGCACTGTTTAGATTTGATTTTAGCTTACACTGATGGTTTATCCCTGAGTCATTATTTTGTTATTCACACGTATTGACCTTTTTGTCATGTTGCATTTCATTTGAGCTGCATTCCAAGACTTGTATGTGTATATGCTCCTATACATAATGAAGAAAACATCTAGAAACTCCTCACAAGTCTGATCTGTTTTGTTAAAAAATGCTATTAAAAATGTGCACATGGAGAGTTTATATGCTGCATTCATTCTTCACATGGATAAGAGTTGGACTTTTCTATGCTGAGCTGACTGAAACCTTTACTGTCCCATGTCCACATCACACTGAGCTGCCAGGAAAACAGAAAGTTGTGTACAGTCAGAATAAAGAAAACACAAATAGATACACATAACAATGCACGTAAACAGTAGGTAAAAGCCACTATAACTAGCTTGTTTGTCAGTTGCGACACCTCAGACTTTTTCTATTTCAACTAATAATTAATTAAACCAAGCAACATGAACACTCGAACAGTCATCGTAGGGACTGATGGGACTGTAGAGCTGTGTATCATCTGCGTAGCAGTGACAGCGGACCTTGTTTGCAGATTATACCACAGAGAAGGGGAATGTATATAGAGAATAAATTTAAGCCAAGGATTGAACCCTGAGGGACACCATACAGTAGGCTTGAGGGGGAATTTGAGTAGTAAGGTGGATGGGCTGAACTTAACCCATTTTCGATTCAATTCAATTTTATTTGTATATCGCCAAATCATAAAATACATTATCTCAAGGCACTTTACATAGAAGGTCAAGACCTTAGAATCTTATTAATATAGAGAAACAGTTTCCACAAGCAGCACTTTGGTGACTGTGGAGGAAAAACTCCCTCATTCACAGAGAGAAACCTCTAGAAGAACCAGGCTCAATGTGGGCGGTCATCTGCCTTGACTGGTTGGAGTGAGCAAAGAAAAAGGGGGAGGAGAGATGGGTGGAAAAGAGGGGAGTGAAGAGAGAGAGACTAGAGAGATTGGGAACACTTCAGGTAACAACCATCAGGTATCAGCTCTGACTAGTTAGAATGTAAACAGTAACAGTATAAAGAAGTTATTAATTATTATTGATAACAGGCACAATTCATATAATAATTAATTACTGAGATATTGTAATTAATAATAGTAATAATGGTAAAGTTGTTGTCCTGAGGTTCTGGGGTCAGAGATATCTGACATGAGAGAGAGAGACTATGGGAGGACAAAGTGAAATAATCATTGACATGTATGTAAATAAATAAATGAATGATAGTGGGGGGGCAGAGAGACAGAGAGAAGTGGAGAGGTGCTCAGTGCATGATGGGAGTTCCCCCAGCAGTCTAGACCTATAGCAGCATGACTAACGGATGGTTCAGGACTCACCTGGTAGCCTGGTAGCTGAATGCTCTACCTCCTGTTCTACTCTTACAGACTCTTGGAACCACAAGAGAACAAATTGATCTATTTGGATAATAAGGTGTTATCAGCTCTTTGATATGAAGGGGATTGATTGATAAGGGTTTATATGTGAGGATCAGGATCCTGTCAGCACTCTGCTGCAGCGTTTTGGACCAACTGGAGACTTTTCACAGACTGTGACATCCTGATAATAAAGAATCACAGTAATCTAGTCTAGAGGTAACAAATGTGTGGACTAGTTTCTCAGCATCTTTCTGAGACAGGATGTTTCTAATCTTGTTAATATTGTGCAGGTGGAAGAAAGCTGTCCTAGAGACTTGTTTTATATGTGGGTCAGATTTTCACAGGGATTGATTCATTCCTCTGCAATCTAACACACCAGCAGAATAATTTAAGGATGATATAATAACAGCTCCACATTCAAGAAGGCTGACCTATTGACCTGTTGACAGCAGCTGTTTTCATTTGCTCCACTCACCTCCACTCCAGAGGTGAATACCTCAAGTCCTCAGCACAGAGAAGTGAAACACCGGAGCACTGAAGCGTGTCTGATTTGGGTGAAGGAGTCTTTTAAATACTTGATTAAGAAATAAACAAAAGTAGCAAACCAAAGAACAAGCTGCGTTCCACCTCTTTGTTTCAGGTTTATTATCAATCCCCTCAGCCCCGCCACCACATACATACATCCACAAACACGCTCACACACACTTATTAAGCTGTACAATTCACATATTTGGCATTTCTTTCATTTGAATTTCAGTTTCCCAGCAATGTCTTAGGATCTTCTGCCAAAACTGTGCTATCTAACATACACCTGTAACCCCCTGTCCTCATCCACCAGGCATTCTGCTCAGACAAAGCCGTCCTCCAACTGGACACAAGTTACAGAGGAATGAAAAACAAAGCTGAATTAGAAAACACATTTCCTGAAATCATCCCACTCACTTATCATAGTGTGTGCTTCATTTATTTTATATAACTGTCATATTCTGTCCAACACTGTGTAATGTGTTCTTCCTTGTTTGTATTTCAATCTGGACAAAGACAACATGGCCATGGATAGACTTCAAGAGATGTAATGTCTGCCATAACCAAGGGATGACATAGTTACATCATCGTGATGACATAGTTACATAAAGGTTGCTGGTTCAGGGGCCATTATTTTATCTTTCGCCAACGCACAGCAAAAAAACTATGTAGACAAGATCCCACCGAAAGGGGCAAAAAAAAGCAAAACAAGAAGGCTGGTGTGATTCGTTTCATAGTCACATTAGGGTCGTGCTGTAAACTTAATGTGGAACTAAATCTCAGGTTAAAGGGGGCAACACACTGCTAGATCTTACATCCACCCAGCTGTCAGATACAACCACAGCTGGAAGTGGGCATGGGAAAGTGAGCAAGCAGACAAAGGGTAGTTAACATTAAGCAGGGGACAGGAGGAAGTCTTACCACACTCTTTACAAATGTCGACCACTTCATCAAAACTTGAGCAAACATTTTCCATCACTACAGACATGTTGTCACACTAGATGCCTCATCTGTAAATGTTTAGAGTTAAGATCATTTCCCATGGCACTTTGACATCCGATTAAATCCTTTTTTAGCCCAAATAAGTTTGTGTAATCTTCTTTTACGTGTGTCTTGAGCACCTTCACAGACAAATGAGATTTCATTTTGAAATGTTTGGAGACCAGAGGAAATTCACAAACCTTGTTCACACTTGAAATACAAAAACAGTACTAAGGCCACTGTTTCAATACTGTGCCGGATAAATGGACAGCCAAGAAATGTTAAAACATGGACATGCAATTATAGAAAGTCAACTCAGTTTCAGATTAATACACTTCGTTTACCAGATAGAGGGCTTCCTTCTGATATAAGTCCCGTCTCTATTTGCTTATTTTGAGTGTAAGCGAATTCATGCAGACAAGTTTGGTGAAATCTAAGTCCTCAGAAGATGCACTTAGTCAATTCCTTCCATCCATTGTGGCTAAGTGGAAAGAGAGAGAAGACTATATTTTCAAATTAAAGGGCGGAACGAGGACATGTCATGGTCGGCCATGGCTCCGTTATGTCCATGCTCTGTGAAACAGGCGACACACACACACACACACACGAGAGAAAGTGCATTTTCAATGTCACCCTCAAATGGTGTCGTGTTTACCACATGACGGTCCCACCCTCTTCTTGAACAGAAAGTGAATGTATTGTAATTCATGTCAGTTTTTTGTCATTTTACAATATGTCTAAGGAAAATGTGGATATCTCAACAGCTGTATCTCTCTGACATGTCTTTGTATTCGCTGTTGCCTAGCAACAAATGTTCTGACAAATGAACCACTTGATCACCAAACACACCATGTACACTAACTGTTCCATCTGAAGCCAGCATACACCAAGTGAGCAAAGTAGCCAGTAAATATTTAGACTGTCATTTACTGTGGATGGATAACGGCCCAACACCACTACTGCCAGTGGTAAGTCTATACTTTGTACACAGTGTACCACATACAAGTAAAAATAAGTATCTGATTTGAGTATTCATGACTTATTTAAGTTTTGAAATAGTAAAACTTCTTTTTGTAATGACTTTTACTCATAAAATGTATTGAATTCACTTTCTTCTGCGAGTCTGAGCTCAGCCAGACTGACCACTGATCTGTTCTGAGCTGGATATGTAACTAACGCCCTTCTCATCAGGTTGTTCAGTTCAATAAAGAGTCCTGGTTGTTCCAAACTTCTTCTGTTAACTATCATAAAGGAAACTTGCAGCAGAAAGCTTATGTTGCCTTCTCCACAGCTGAACTCTGCAGGCAGATCCTTCCACCCTGTGTGGATTGGTTTTGCTCTGATGTACATAGTCAGCTGTGAGACCTTATACAGACAGGTGGCAGTTTTCAGTCGTTTCCAATCAAAGGAATTAACCGAAGTTGAATCAAGAGAATTGGGAGGAACCTGAGCTAAACTTCAAGTGTCTGTCAGTAAGTGATATTTAATCTGCAAACACTTTATTGGAAACCTTTTCTCCATGTTTTAACATTTAATCCTTGAAATCCCATTTGTTTCTTCAGTAGCCTTAAGACTCAGTGAAAGAACAGAGATCATACTCATACTGAAGATGTCATGTGACTGTAAATCTTATAGATCAGTCATCTGGTCTGAGAGATTCCAGACCCCTTTATTCTATTGTGATCTGTGAACATAGGACATTGGGAATAAATCAGTCTTTTTAAGAAAACAGTGTATCAACTGTGGAGCAACAATGAAACCAACTAGATGGGCTGCTTTATTCTTTTTATCCCCATTCTGACACTAACACAAACTGTTTTTTGAGTCAATATTAAAAATTCTTCATTTATCAATAGCTATATTTCCATATAAATTCATATAAAACAATCTCAAATTAAATAGGTGAAATTATAAAATGACAACACTCAAATTTTTCTAGAAAATTAATTCCATGAGCTGTTTCCTGGAAAGTTTGCCTTTTCTCAAGGACACCATTAACAACAAAGAAGCCAAACCATTATTTATTTTTTCACTTTAGTTTCCTGACTTCCTGTTGGTTCAAACACAGCGGCCCTATAGTGGCTAGTAGTAATAGTAGTGCATGCTGCAGCCCAGTATCAATGCCACTTTTTTCTTAAAAAAAATCCACATTAAAAAAATCACATCATCCTGTACAAACATGGAATCATTTTCACATCTAAGAATAATTCAACAAATGAATCAAAGAGAGAGGGGATCAGCTTTTTCACTTGTTCTGTTTCAATGTCACATTTTTCCTCCCTCCATCAGAAGG